GAGCCGAGCGCAGCCGAGCGACGTGAGAAGCGTACGAGCGCGCGACGGCGACGCGTGCGGCGCGCGCGNGGAGCGNGGNGGTGGGGGGGGGGGAGGGCGTGCCGTGTGCTTCCCACCCGCCTCGCCTCCAGCTCGACCTCGTGCCTCCTCACCTCTCAGTCCACCCTCAGGACGACCCAAGACGACGTCGACAACGGCGACGACGACTTCAATCACCACCACCGCCGCCGCCACCTAAGCACATCATCCGCCTCGTCACCTCGCACTTCGCATCACCAGGACAATACCAACCTAGCCCACCCACGGCCGGCCGTGCCTAGGCCATCAGATCCGCCATACATCCCCTGCACCAACGCCCTCGTCCCCGGTCCTCCTCGATCTTCATCCTCTTGCCCTGCACTCCCAACTCTCCCATCGCCCACCCTCAAGCATGGCCGCCGCAGCCTCTAGATTCAGCATATCCAGTCGCACCTCGTCCGCCCCATCACCTGCACCACCGCCGCATCCACCGCTACCATCAGATACCACCCAGCCAACAGCTCCCGCACCAATGTCAACCACCCCACCCGCATCCCAGTCCCAGTCCCCGGCGCTGGCCGCCAGGTCGCTACCTGCCTCCACACTGGCCGCACCATCTGCGGCATCGCCGTCTGCCGGCGAGCGCCCCCTTCGATGGCTGCTCATCGATGTCGCAGAGTCGTCTCGCACCTTTCTCCGCGCCTTGGCCTCCTCCGAGGCTGATGGCAGCGTACAGGGCCAGCAAACCACCGCAAACGGCTCCTCCGCCTCGTCTACCGCGCCGACCTCTTCGAATGCCGCCCAGACCTTGACGCACCAGAAGCACCTGTCCACGGCCGCTCCAGTCCAGGGTGCCGCCGTGGGCCAGCTCGACAAACGCCTATCGCTGCCCTTTGGAGGGTCCGTTGCCAGCAACGCGCCCTCGAGCTCAAAGGGCCCTTCAAAGAAGCCCAGCTTCATGTCCCGGCTCAGATCAGGCAGCACCTCGATCAGCAGCGCCGCCTCCTCGTCCTCGGAAAAGGAGAACAAGTCGATCGACGCACCCGCGGCGGCCTCTCAGATCGCCAATGGCGCCTCTACGCCGGCGCAGCTCTCCCCCAGGATTCAGGAGGCAAGGCTTTCGGCGACGCCGCGACAAACAGTCGCTAGGCTCGCCTCTGCGACACCCGAGAGCTCGGACGTTGGAGCCGCGTGGGCTCTTGTCAAGCAATGCGGCGTCCACACCGTCGACGAGGCCGTTGGCAAGGCTGCTGCCAATCATATCGACGTAGACCCGCAAGCCTTGGCAGACCTGATTCGGAGCGAGAGCATCGAAGCCGTCTACATAGGGGAAGGGACGAAGCCGGACCGCGCGCTCGCCGTGCGTCTGCTGGAGGCTCTCTCTGCGGCTGGACCACAGAAGGCGCCAAATGCGATCGCCGTCGATCCGGCCTTGACTCGGGCCCTGACGGCTCAGGATGCCGCTTCCCTGGTTGCGCTGGCCGCTCAGACCGGCACTTGGCTGGCGCTTCCAACGAAGTGGGGCCGAGATGGACAAGCAAACGCCAACGCGCTCGTGCAAGGCTGCGCCCGGGACCTGCTGGAGGGAAGGCTATACAGTCCCAGCTTCACCTGGGATGAGACGCTGGCGGTGCTTGAGGTGAGCCGACCGGATCGCGACGGCATGAGGGCGAAGCGAGTAGGATAGAAGGACTCACTTGACATCCTGCATCATCCCTGTCCCTGCCAGAGTCTCGACGAGCTGAGGCAGACTGCGGTGCCGCTTCCTCCGACGGCCCCTGCAGAGGTACCTGCTGGCCGGCTGCCAAAGATCGAGGACCTCTCGGACACGAGCATGGAAAGCACGGGGAGCAGCGTCGCCGCTTCGCCTCGGCTCGGCACGCCCGCCGCGGACGAGTCGACCACGAACCTGTCGACTGCCGCGTTGCGTGCAAAGCTGCAAGAGGCACAACACATCCTGCGCCAAAAGAATGCACTCATCGCCGCACTAGAACAGCAGCCTCGAAGCGGCGGCAGCAGCAACGGCGTGGGCGGTGGCAGTCCCAGCCTCGGATCGTCGGCCAAAGTTGCGAGGTCGCCGAGCCCCGCTGCCTCGCTCCGCCCCAGGAAGACGAGCGTCGGCTCGACTCAGGAAAGGAACGCTGCTCCATCGCGCCCGGCAACACCGACGAGGACGCGCAAGAACAGCAGCGCCAGTGTCGCCGGCGAGGGAGCCGTCGATGGCGCCTCGACTCCGCGACGCCCGACAGGCTCTGCGGTTGGCCAAGGAGCCGCTCGAACGCGGAAGAACAGCAAGAGCAGCCTCGTCGACAACCAGCTGAACCTGAGTCCGCCGGTGTCGAGCGTCAATCAGTTCGACAGCGCGCCGGCATCGCCTACCAGCGGAGCGCTGGAGCCTGTCAAGGAGGCCCGTCGAAACATGGACAGGGCTCTCGCCGCCGGGCTGGCCGATTCGCACCGCTCCCCGACGGTGGCCAGCGAGAACCGACGCATCGCCTCGCTGACCCAGCAGGCCAACGGGATCGCTGCAAACGGCGGCGGCGGCGGCGGCGGCGGCGGTGGGTCCGGGAAAGTGATCCACGCACTCACCGCCGAGCTGGAAGAGACGAAGCTTCAGCTCGACTTGACACGGACGCGGCTGCGGGCCGCGCAGCTGCAGGCCTCGGGGCTCCAGCGGCAGCACGACGACCTCAAAGACAGCCTCGGCCGGACGCGCCTGGAAAACGAGTCCAACGCCCAGATGCTAGCGCGCAAGGAGCGGCAGACGTCCGAGGCGCTGGAGCGGGCGCGCAAGGCCGAGCACGAGGCCAAGGAGCTCGGGCGGAGCAGCCGAGAGTGGGGCACGCGGGTGCGCGAGGTCGAGGCGCAGCTGGGCCAGGAGCGGATCCTCAAGGCGAGGGCCGAGGCGCAGTACGAGGCGCTGTCGGCGTCGTGGAAGTCGACGCGGGAGAAGCTGCAGCAGGACGTCGAGCAGCTGCGGATCGACGTGTCGAAGCAGGCGATCGAGAACAGCGGGGAGGCGCAGAAGCTGCTCAAGGTCAAGACCGAGATGGAGGAGGCGTGGAGGCAGCGCGACATGGAAAAGGGCGCGCTGGGCGACCTGCTCGAGCGGCTCCAGAGCCAGCAGCAGCACGTCGAACGCATCATCCAGCAGAGTGTCGGCGCGCTCGTCGAGAGGCTCGACGAGTACGAGAGCCACACGCGCAAGCAGGACGACGAGGTGGCCTACGTCGGCGGCGAGCTGCGCAGGATCCTGCGCCTGATGCGCAGCGGCTCGACGGATCCCCACGCGCCGTAATGGTCGGCCTGGCCGGCCTGGCAGGCAGCCGGCTAGCTGGCTCTGCCCGGCGCAAAGCTCGAGGATGGGATCGAGTATCGATAGACCTTCGCTTTGCTCAGTCGCAGTTGTTTTGCAATACCGCATCAGCCCTTGTGGGCGCACAGTCTTGACCTGTTTCCCCGTTGCGATGGCGCTCTAGAGGCTTGCCCGCCAAATTGATCACGCCAGCGCACGCACCGTGTCGGCGATCAAAACCGCCGACGGCCCTTTCTGAGAAGAAACGTGGGCGAGGAAGAAAAACATACAGGCCGGGCGCAGGGCCCGAGGTTCGGGGTGGGGGATGGGGGGAATGGGGCTCCCCCGAGGCTGAGAGGGACCCCACGCCATCTGCTCGCCCGCCTAGCCTGGCAACGCACGCACGGCTCGACCTTTTCTTCCCCGAGCGCTCCTTCTTTGCGACCGACGACATCACCACCATCTAGAGATCCAAGAGCATCGTCGCATTGTGATCCGGCAGCGCCCTCCTCACCCACCCCTCTATCCTCCGCGCACACCTCCATCCACGCATCTCTCCCGCCACCTCCGCCGCCTTCGCCCACGATGGTCAAGCAAGTGACGCTCGAGGTGGATACGATCCTCTTTGACATGGACGGCACCCTGATCGACTCCACGCCCGCCGTCAATGCGACGTGGGCGGCGTTCGCAGAGCAGTACCAGCTCGATCTGGACTTCGTGATGCAGACGTGCCACGGCTACCGCACCGTCGAGAACCTGCGGCGCTTCATCCCGAGCCTCTCGGACGACGAGCTGCCGCGCGAGGTGGAGCGGTTCGAGTCCAACATCCTCGTCGTGGCGCAGCAGAACCAGGCTAAAGGCATCGCCGGTTCCATCATCGCCATGCCTGGTGCCAAGGACTTGCTGCACCAGATCAACTCGACCCGCCCCACCACCGCCACCGCCGCCGCCGCCGGTAACCACGGCTGGGCCATCGTCACTTCGGCCACCAAGGCCTACGCCCAGCAAGGCTTCGCCTCTGCCAACGTCTCGCAACCCCCGCGCGTCTTTATCACCTCGGACCTCTGCACAAAGGGAAAGCCCGACCCGCAACCTTACCTCCTCGGCGCCCAGCACGCCGGCAAGGACATCAGCCGCTGCCTCGTCGTCGAAGACGCCCCGCCCGGCATCCGATCCGGCAAGGCCGCCGGCGCCAAGACCCTCGCGCTCCGCACCACCCACGACGGCGAAAAGATGCAGGCCGAAGGCGCAGACCTCATCGTCGAGGACCTCCGCAGCGTTGCGGCCCGCTGGTCCGACGACGGACAGCGCATCATCCTCACCATCCAGGCAGAGGAGCCCGAAAAGGGAGAGGCAAAGGGCATCTCGGCCCTCGCCAACCACATCCGAAAAGAAAACGACCCCACCGCCGCCGCCAACTAGATAGACCTTCCAGCCTCCCACTCGGAATGCAATAGACTGCCTTGTGACGCAGACGGAAGGTACCCGCCCGCCAGGCCGTCGGAAGGTGGGTCGCCGAGACCAGGCCTGAACGACGACGACGACGACGACGACGACGACGACGACGACGCCGAGGCTCGCTCGGAGAAATTGGCTTTCGGCTTTTGGTTTGCACGCAACGGACAAAACACAGTGGCGCTGTGTCTGCACCTCTGGCCTGCTCGACGTCCGTCGGGCGACGGCATGGAGAGGCCCAAAAGAGGTCAGCACACGTCATGCGAGAACGAGACGAGGGGACGACGGGACAAGAGAGGAGGAGGAGGAAGGAGGAGGAGGAGGAGGCGGCGAAGAAGAAGAAGAGGAGGGGTGGGTGGACGGTGCTTTAATACAAGACGAGCGAGCCGACGAGCGAGCGAGCGAGCAGGGGTGCCAGGCATCCGTAACTTGGGGGGTCTGAGGGGTACCGGGGGAGGATGGTAGTGGAGACGTCAACGTCGGACTGTAGCCGCACCGCTGCGCGGCACCGCGTCGAGGCGCAGCGTCGGACGTCGCGCATGCAGAACGCCAAGGGCCTAGAGGAAAGGCTGGCTGCGCTTCTGGACCGATCGACGCCCTCAAGGCGCACCGCCCTGGGCCAGTCGCATCTTCTCCTGCTCGAGCCGCTGGTAGAGGAGGCCCACGGCCATCTGGATGTTCGGAGGAGGGCCGGTGATGGTGACGAGGCGCTCCGAGCCGCTGCCGCCGGCGGCAATACCGGCGCCGGGCTCCATGATCTTGATATGACTGGCGCTCATGCTGCGGATCTCGTTGATCTTCGAGCCGCCCTTGCCAATGATGCAGCCGACCAGGTCATTGGGGATGAAAATCTGCTGCGTCTGCGAGCCGGGCGGGAGCTGAGGCGACGCGGCCGCGTACGGCGCAGCGCCTCCAACGGCGCCAGCGGTGTAACCGCCAAACTGGCCTGCAGGCGCACCGCCGGCGGCGTAGCCCTGCTGGGGCGACATGCCGCCACGTGCGGGCCCCGCTGATGGCCTGTAGGCGAGGTTGTTGGCGTTTCGGTCCTGGTGCTCGAGCAAGATGGTGCCGACGTAGTAGACGGCGATGTGGACGGCGTCGGCGACACCAGAGATGCTGAGGACGCGCTCGGTGCTGCCGGGCAGCATGGCCTCGCCGGCCGTCAGCCGGGCGCCGGAAGCCTCCTGGATCTCCTTGATCTTGCTGCCCTGCTTGCCGATCACGGATCCCATTCTCGAGTTGGGGACGATGAAGCGGATCGTGACGGCGCGCGAGCCGGGCACCGACGGCGCGTCAAAGGGCTCGTCGTTGATGCGGCGGACGATGAGACCAAACGACTGAAGGGAGGCAGGGTCACAGGGCAAGGTGACAGCTGCGGGTCAGCAGAGAGACTCTCACCGGTCTCGCGCGCTTGGTCCAACAGCAAGCTGGCCCGAGACTCACCTTGCTGACGGCATCGAGGGGACCGGAAACAGTGAGGATGCGCTCGGGGTTGCCCGGGATGCTCTCGCTCTGTAAAGACGAGGACGGGTGCGGAGCAATGCAGTCAGCAGCTGTTGGCCCACCCTACGATGTCATTGGACGTTGACCCATCAACGCGGCAGACTCACAATGTTGAGACGAGCACCGCTCTTGTCGCGGATCTCGTTGATGTGCTTGCCCTGCTTGCCAATGATGATGCTGGCGTCGGCGGTGATGATGAGCGCCCTCATCGAGATCTGGCTGGCCTGGGCGTCCTGGCCGTCGACGGAGCCCGAGCCCTCGGCGCCGTTGTCGGCGCCGTTGCCGTTGGTGCCGGCACCGGACTCGTCCATCTTGTTATCGCCGGAGGAGCCAGCGACGTCGGCGGGAGCGTCCGAGGGGCCGAGGTCGACGGCATCCTTCTCCTCGGTGCGAGGGTTCATCTCTACTTCGGGCGAAGACATCTTGGGCTTGGCTGCGGTCTCGGAGGTGTTGTCAGCGTCGCCCTGCTGCTCAATCTTCGGCTTCTTGGATTCAGGGTCCTCGGTCTTGACGTTAGCGTTGGAAGGAGCGGTCTCGTCCTTCTTGTCGAGTCGCTTGGCTTCGGGTTCGGGGGAGTTGGAGCTGGAGCGAGGGCGCTTGGTGGTCTCTGCCATGTCGTGATGGTCCAAGGTGCGCGAGAAGAGGTGAGGCAGGGCCGCGTCGACGGAAGCGGAGCGGGGGATGCCAGGAAAGCGTGGGTTTGTGTGCTCGATCAGTATTCAGCACTTCCCCTGAGGGTGTCCGAGCGAGCGAGGCAAGTCGGCGAGGAGGCGGCGTGGGTGAGGTGATCGAGAGGAAGTCGGGGCGTCAGGAATAGGTGGGAGGTGTGGAAAGGAGAGGGAAGGTGACGGGCTGATACACACGCGATGCAGGTGTGAGCTGCGATTGGCAGTGTGCAGAGGTTAGGAGAGCGCAGTGGAGTGCCAGCGAGGCGTGTCAGTGTCTTCCTGGAGCATGGCACGGCATCCGATCCAACGACGAAGGACCATCGATGATGTAGAAGGAGAAAAGTAACAAGGCCGGAGAAGTCGATCTCATCTCCGCAGTGGACGCAGCGCGTCCCGCATTGGGGGCCTCAGTTACGTTCGATGCCGGCCAGCTCGAAGAGAGGCCACAAGTGCAGCGTGATGCCCCGCGAGGGCGGGGTTGGTTGGTAGCTAGCATCCACACGTGACTGACGCAAGGTCTCGACTCACCTGTGTGTGTGCTCAGAGGGGAGCTGGCGACGTGGTGGTTCCGGAAAAGAAGGGGATGGGCGGGCCCGGCTCTTATAGCTGAGCTTCCAGAGGTCGGTGCAGGCTCAATGAGGCGAGGCAACGACGTGCGTGCCCGGGTCGGGGGAGGGTCGTCGCTTGGCGGAAGCAGCCAGAGGGCAGCTATCAGTGATGCGGCGGTAGGGGCGCGGATGCGAGCCGAAGGTATCGGAAGCAACCGGTCTTGGGCGCGAGGTGTGGGTGCGAGTGCGGGTGCGGAACGATAAGGTGGCGGTCGTCGAGACAGGGAGGCCAGGTGTTTCGAGGCGTAGTCGGTGAGAAGGAAGGTCGGCGGGCGGTGGTGGGGATGGGGCGGTGGAGAGAAGCAGGCACGGTTCAGGGAGGCAGCCCTGACAGGCCCAGGCCCAAGCCCAAAGCCCAAGCGGCGGCCCCGCCCAGCAAGCGCAGGTCTGGCCAGGCCTGTCTGCCAGCTAGCCCAGGCCAGGCCAGCCAAGACGGACGGGCAGCCGGTGCCAGCCCAGCCTGACAGGGCCCCCCGGCCCTCAAGGCTGCCCTGCCCGCTCTTCTCGCGCACAGCTTTTTGCCCTTGGCTCGCCAACGGCGGAGGGCAAGCGGCGCTCGACCCGAGAAAAATTGGAACGGCTCGCAGAGCGCGCGGGCGGTGATCGGGCTCGCGGTGCTGGGGTGACCCACCTCTTGGTCGCGGACAAGCCGATCCGACCACCTTGCGGCTGCCACTTCCGCCATGCCCTCTTACACTACTACTGCAGCAGGGCGCCGCTGTTGCAACCCAGCTTCGGCATCGGGTCGGTCCGTTCTGTTGGGGCCGTGGGCAAGGCTATGCTTGTCCACATGGGCCTTTGCTCCCGCGCCACCTTGCCGACCTCAGACATCACGTCCGGACGACTACGTCCGCGCCTGCGCCGGCCAATCGCACCGCACCGTGTCGTCTCAGACGCAAACGGAGCCTCAGAGATGTATGGTGTGGCAGCACCCTGCGCAACACGATGGAGGCGAAGCACTCGATGCAGAGCGAAACAGAGCCAACGGGACTTCCTCATCTTAGAGACGGAGCATGCCGCACTGACCAGCGACTAGGAGCGGTGAAAGCCACAGTTGAGCGGAGCGGCCGAAGATCTAGCTTTCAGCAGCAAAGAGAGCGAGCTTGGGGGCTGGTCGACATCGGCTCGTCCGCCCTTGCGCATTTGGGGGCCCACAGCTCGGCCACCGCCGCGTGCAGAACGGAACGGTTACGAGGGCAGAGATACGCAGTCAGGTCGTGTCGGTGTCGAAGACGGTGCGGATGAGCTGAAGAGCAGGATGCGGCGACAAGAGCTTTAACCAAGGTCAAAGTTGTTGCCCAGGCGGAGCAGTGACGACGAGATCACAATGACGGGCGAGCAGCCCTAAATGCGGGCGCTAGGACGCGCGGGGCGCTGGGGAGCGCACGATGCCGTGAGGCGAGGGCGACTAGACCTTCGAGAGCCTGGGCACATCGCTCGAATGGAAGCGCCTTCCGGAGATCAGCAGCCAAAGGTTGGTGTTGGAGTCGATGAAAGAAGCCAGGGCAGATGTCGTATAGTACAGGCAAGGTTTTGTGAGGCGTGCCATGGGACAGCAGGAGGTCCTCGACCCCATTCAGTGACGCTTGCGACAGCAGGTCGGGGGGTTGCCGCCTAAGGGATGCCAGCCTAGGCGGCAGGTAGAGTGTCGGAACGTCCGAAAGTTCACGTTAGGAGCTGTTGTCGATGGCAAGGATAGACTTGCAAAGAGGAAGTAGGACGAATGTGCGGTAGCCGCAGGACGAGACCCGGATCATCGCCGGATGCCTTGTGGTCGCTGGCCTCCGCGTCCCCTTCTTGCTTGGGCTGCAATGAGTGAGCACAGCGAGGCGCAGGCGAAAAGAAAGCGCTTGGAATCAGTTTGTGCTGCACGAGGAACTTCCTCGGCGAGGCAGAACCGCTGGCCGCGCTCGCCACTCACCCCTCATGATGGTCGCGCGTCCTCTTGCGCTACCGATACCCCTGCCCTTCATGGCGTTGGGACCGACGCGCTTGAACATGGGCGCCTGCTGCAGCATGTCGGGCACGATGACGAACCGGATCATGTTGCCGCGGATGTAGACGTTCTCGAGGTGCGACTGCTTGCCGTCCTTGGCGGTGACGGTAATGTCCTTCATCGAGACGTTGAAGTTGTCCTCGGCTGGTGGGGCGAGAATCGGGGCGACGCAGCGTGAGGGGAGAAGAAGTCTTCAGCATCCCTTCCAAAAGCCCGAGGAGTCAGCTGGAGGCTGCCGCGGGCGGCTGGCGCTCACCATCGTAGAGGGTTCCGCGATACGACGCTCCGCCCTTGAGCTCGACGGTGATGATGTGGCCGACCGCCTCGTGGATGAGCTTGACGGGAATGCCGATGGTGCCCATGTTGTGCTCTTCTGCTGTGTGCGAGGCGCTGCCTGAATCTTGGCGGATGAGCCGATGTAGGGATGTCCGAGAAGAGGCGGGCGACGGAGGCTACGGGGAGGATGGGATGGTCCAAGAGCGAGAGGTGCAGCTGGCCAGCCGGCAGGGCAGGAAGGCCCAAGCAGGGCCCGATCACACGCCCGCTCGCCCGGCCCTGATTTTCTGGGCCGGGGCTGTCGAAACTCCACACCTGCTGGCCTGCTGGCGTGACTTGACTGCGTGGGCGCGGCGGGGGGGCATCAGCCAGCCGGCCAGCTCTCAAGCAGCGCTCGCTGAGGCACGGCTGGCCTGGCAGCTGGCAGCTGGCAGCTGGCTTGGCCGAATGCGCCGGCAGACCGAGGGCGGCCAGCCCAGACGCACAGACGCGGGGCGAGGGGGCCAAGCTCTCGAGCCTCTCGGGCTGCACCCTTCTCCCTGGAAGCCTTCGTCGCTACTTCGACCATCTCGTTCGCATCAGCTCAGCCCCCTTTTCCCTCTTTGATTCCACCTAGCACGCACTCACCCGGAGCGACTCTACCTTCCAGCTCAGTCCAACCCATCTCAGCCCAGCTCAGCCCAGCCTGGTCGACTGCCAGCATGGCCTTCTACGCCTCGGCCGGCGGGCCGCTTTCGCCGGGCTACAACGCCACCTCGGCCTGGGGAGGCAACGATAACGCTGAAGAGGACCCTTGGGCACAGCCGTCGACCTCGACCTCGAACACCGCTGCTGCAGGTCCTAGCGTCGGAGCACCCGCCAACCCGTACGCTGCGCAGTCGCCGCCCGGCGGCCTCTCGCCGCAGCACCACAATCCGCAGGCTTATCAGAGCTCCTACTTTGGCAGTGGCTCGCCGCCGACTTCCAACGGCGCAGCGGACAGCCGCCAGAACGGAAGAGATGCTACCGCTGCTGCATCTGCGGCCCAACAGCCGGCCGGTGGATATGGACAGGCGGAACCTCAGCCTGCCTACGGTGCTCCAGCTGGCCAGTCTTTCCACCAAGCTTCGGGTTCCTCGGGTTCCTCGACATCTGTCGCACCTCCACAGCCATCGCACCAACACCTTCAGCAGCAGCAGCAGCAGCAGGCACCAGGACAGCAGCAGCCACCAGCGCCACAGGTCCAGCCGCCCCCGCAGCAACAGCAGCAGCAGTCGTCGTTCCCGTCCCAGGCCCAGTACCAGCAGTATGCCCAGACCGCCCAGGCCCAGCCCGCAGCGTCCCGCTTCCAGTCTCATACCCCCTCGACGCTGCTGCCCTCGGAGCCCGCGGGTCTTCACGGAGACCAGGGCAACGGCTACGGTGCGGCGCCGCGACAGCTCGCGCCTGGCTACCCGCTGCCGGCATCCAACTACGCCGTACCGGCCTACTCGCCGTTTGCGCGCGTGGATAGCCTCAACCAGCGCCGCGAGGCGCCCGAGGACATGTACGGCGTGCCCGAGAACTTTCTCGAGGTCGAGGTGCGCAACCCCATGACGCACGGCTACGGCCGCAAGATGTACACCGACTACGAGATTGTGACGCGCACAAACATCCCTGCGTTCAAGATCCGCTACTCGTCGGTGCGCCGGCGCTACTCGGACTTTGAGCACTTCCGCGACATCCTCGAGCGCGAGTCGACGCGCGTCAACATCCCGCCGCTGCCCGGCAAGGTGTTTACCAACCGCTTCACCGACGAGGTCATCGAGTCGCGGCGCGAGGGCCTCGAGCGCTTCCTCCAGGTCGTCGCGGGCCACCCGCTCCTCCAGACCGGGAGCAAGGTCATGGCCGCCTTTTTGCAGGACAGCGGATGGAGCAAGGACCAGTGGATGTAGGCGCCCGCCCGTCGGCGGCGGCGGCGGCGGCGAAGGCGTTCCATCGACCCGGCTCCTATCGACTCGGTTCCCGCTCCACTCGGCCCCCAGGCTCAGGACCCCACAGCATCTTCCCCTCTTCCCCGTCCTCGTCCCTGTCCGTGCTCGAGGCTCAGTCACGCAGCTGCGCTCCCCTCCGCAGCGACCTCTTGCTCTCTGGCCAGGCCTTCACACGGCCACCCAGGCCTTCTCGCGTCTCTGCGGCGTCGTTCGATGGCTTCTCAACCCCTCCACCCACCCGCTCCCATCCCACGCATGCACATCCATCCGCCCGCTCCCCGACCCTGTATATAACCCACGGCCGGCGGCCGGCACGCGCTCGATTCCGCATCCATCATCATCCCCATTTCCCCCGGCACAAGAAGTCGCGGCATGAGCAAGAAGAGTGCGAGAAGAGACGAGGAAGGGAAGGCGGCCTACGGATTGGAGTCCGAGTCGGAATCGAGGATCTCGACGACCTCTCGCTGCTGCTGCTTGAGGGCCGACTTGGCAGCCGTCGCCGCCGCTCTGGGTCGCGACGCCCGTGTCGTGAGCGGTTGCGGCGGCGGCTGCGGCTGCGGTGGTGGTGGCGTAGCGATGGTTCGACCATTGTGGTCGATAGCGTCTTCGGGTTCGGTCTCGGTCTCGCTGCCGAGATCGTCGGGTGGCGGCGGTGGCGGTATGGATCGACGGCCGTCTTGCGGTGCGGGGTGCTGGTGCTGATGCTGGTGCTGGTGCTGGTGCTGGTGATGCTGGATCGGTGCGTCATCCTGTATCGGATGGGCAGCGGCCGCGATGGCTTCCTCGTCCTCGTCCATATCGTTTTCGCTTGCCGCTTGCTCCGATCGACCCACGCCGGGGTGCAGACGACGCTGTTGCTCCGCGTGTGCCCGTGCGCGTTGTTCCTCGTCATCCTCGCCCTCGTCCTCTTCGTCGGCCAGCAGCTCGTAGATCTCATCGACCTCGTCGGGCGAGAGCACCAAGTCCACAAGGTCACCCGCCAGATCCGCCACGGATTCCAGGCGGGCAGAGGCCGTTGCGAGTCTCCTCACCCTCTTCTCCACCGCTGCTCTTCTCCTTTTCCGTTCCGGATCCTCATCGTCCCTTGCGGCCGCTGAGGCGTCGGCATCGGCGTCGGCGTCGAGGTCGAGGTCGAGGTCGAGGAGCTTCAGCCGGGTCAGGGACATTTCCTTTTCCTCGTCGATCCAGTCAGGCTCGGGCGCAAATGCGATCCGGTTGAGGGCGACGGTGAATGTCTGTCGGATGCCGTTGAGCATGTTGTACGTCTCCTGATCCTCGAGCTTCTGCGCGAGGCTGATGAGCCCCCACCGCGTCGAGGCGCCGTCAAAGGCGTCCGGATCCGAGTCGCCCGCCGCAGAATACTGGCTGTCGCTGCCTTCCCCGGGTCCCACTGAGGGTGGAAGCGGGTAGCGGTAGAGCACCGTCAGCAGACGGACGTCGAGCGTAAGCCGCTCCACCAGGTGCTCAAGGCCCGTCTCGAGGTCCTGTCGGCCCGATGCGGCCGGGAGCAGCTCTGGCCGCAGAGTGGCGAGGATGCCGTGCGCGCCTTCGTTCCAGAGCGTGTCGGCATCGAGCGAGAGACACTTGACCAGGGCGGCCAGCAGCGGCGCCGAGTCGGCCAGGATGATGTGCGTGTCCCGCGCCTTGATGGCCGCCTGCGTCAGAAGGATGAGGATGGTGCGGTGCAGCGAGTGCCACTCGCGCTCCGGCAGGTCGTACCGCCGATCGACGAGGTGCTTGGCCATCACCTCGAGCACCGAGAACCGACCGCTGCGCGAGCTCCGTCCGGCCGTGGTCGCGGCCATCGAAGTGGCGCCGCCACCGGTCGAGGTCGAGCTGGGCGTGTTGAGCGAATGACCGAGCTGCGGGTCCGGCCTGGCCGCGAGGCAGGCATGGACGAGGCTCGAGTTGGACGACATGGATGCAACGAGGCGGACCGTCCGTTCGATGCTCGAGCACCGCCGCCGCCGGTCCAGGAGCGTGAAGAGGAAGCCGTCGGTATCGCCGATGAAGCGCAGCGCCGACTCGAGGGGCTGGCCCTGGAAAGCCCAGCAGAGGACCTCGAGGACGTCGACGACGGCTTCGACGAGCTCCTCTCGAGCATCCTCTCCCATGTCCCACGGCTGCTCCTTGTCCTCGTCTTCAGCTAGGTTTGACGCTGCTTCGGCGTTGGCGGCGGCCCTGGCTCTCTCACGATCCACAAGGCGGCGCGCCTGGCTCTGCGCCTGCGTCGCGATCGGACGCCCCCGGTCCACGGCTTCAGGCGCCGGCGCGCCAGAAGTGAGGGTCGATGCCGGAGACGAGACGGAGATCGGGACCACGTTGCACTTCTTGATTGACTCGACCAGGATGATGGTGAGGCTGCGGGGGGTGTCGATCTCTTCGGTCGAGATCGCGTCCGATGCGCTGCCTTGCGTCCGTCGCTCCTCGGCCCTGTAGTCCCACACGCCGTCCTGCGGCGTCAGGATCTTTTCTGCCAGGGGTGGATGCGCCACGCACAGCGACCGTGCCAGCTTCAGCGTATCCCGGAGGCAGTCGGTCATGCAGAGGCGCAGGAACAGGCCCATGAGCGTCTGCAGTGCGGCGGCGAGGCCCTCGAGCAGGTCCTGCATCCCGTCCTCCAGGCCCTCCTCCCAGCCGTCGTCGTGCTCGAGCAAGAAGCGGAAGCGGTCCTCGCCGTCGGATACGCTGCCCTGCGTCAGCACAGCGTTGAGGTACTGCGTGGCGAGGGCGTACCGCTGCAAGAGAATCGAAGGCGCGCCCGCAGGGATCTCGGCGTTGATGAGACGGTGGATGGTGCTGTCGTAAGGCCTTGACCCGGATGGCTGACTGCCAGGCGGCGAGCCCTTCGGGTTGTACCTCGTCCTAGGGTGCGAGAGAGGCGTCGATGGGATGGCGCAGGTATGGCTGAGCACCTGCCCCACGAGCTCGGCGCGCCTCCGCACCAGCTCGCCAACAGCCCAGTAGTACCGCTGCTTTCGCCGGTATGCGGCGGAGTCGAAGCCAGCTTCCGCAGGATGAAGCTCGTCTCGACCTCGCTTCGACGGCGTGTGCGGCAGCCCTCGTGGTGACGGCGGATCGAGCAACGGGGCATCGTCCATGCTGATGTCGACCGCGTCCTGACTCAATCCGAGCGCCGAGGCCGGTCGATGGACTTGCACTGCGGCTGTCGGCTGGAACTTGGCCGGCAAGAGCCCGGGATCGTCGAACGAGTTTTTGAACTTGGAGAAGGCCTTGCCCTTTCCCTTTGTGCTGCTCGGTCGGCCATGGGCGTGGACACCATGGCTCGCCTCGACCGCACCGGCTCGCCTGCTTGGGCTGACGGGTTCTGCCCGGTCCAGTGCCGCCGAACGACCCAGTGTCCGCGGGGTCCGCGAGGTCGAGGAGCTCGGCGTGATGGGCCGGCCGCCGTTGCGGTTGCGCTTTGTGGGGGTCGTGAGGCCGGCGGCGACCTGCGACTCTTGGCGGCGATCGCGGTCGCGCAGCGTCGAGGGCGGCACGCGCCTGACGCTCGAGGGCCAGGCCCTGCGGCTGGTGTCCTGCTCTACGCGGCGGAAGGCGGTGGCCGTCTCTAGGCGCTCCATCTGGCGCTGATTGTCGGCGTGGAGCTTTTCGAGCGTGGCCTTGTGCTCCTGCTCCATGCGCACCTCTTTTTCGCGCAGCTTGGCATTCTCGAGGTTGAGCTTGTTGAGGTTCTGGCGCACCACTGCGACCTCGCCCTCCTTTGCGCGCTTGTCGAGCGTCAGCTTTCGGATCGCCTCTTCTTGTTGCTTGGCCGCCCTCTGCAGCTCTTGCAGCTGCTGCTTGAGCTGTCGGAGGTCGACATCGTGAGCGCTTGGCGGTGGCCCCGCCTCGAGGGCGGCGGCAGTGGCGGCAACGGTGGGGGGTTCCCTGCGGGCGGGTACGGGTTGCTGCGAGACGGGCTGCTGCGACATGCGGATAGCCTCCTCCTCTGCCTGGTCGAGGCCGTTGTTTCCGGTCCACCAGTCGTCGTCGCCGTCGCCAAACTCATCGTCGCGAAGGTTGTGGACGATGACCTCGTCTGCACCGGGAGATCGTCTCTGCAGGCGCCCAGGTGGTTGCTGCCTGGTCGAAACGGCAGCGTGAGGCTGTGGGGCGATGCTGGTGGTGGTGGGGGCCTGACGCGATGGAGAAGCCCCTTGGTCCTCGTCGTCCTCCAGAATGACAGCTTCGTGCCGTAGACCGGTGCGGCCGCCGGATGTGACGCGTGCGAGGCCGTTGGATAGCTTCTGACGCTTCTGAGGGTTGATGAAGGTGCCCTTGCGAACGCCGCTCCCGAGGTTTGGGGTCACGAAGGAAGGCGGCTGTGCGGTGCGGACTGCAGATGCATGGGCGGCGGCCGTGAGGTTGGCAGTGGCGCTTGGCTGCTGCCTGTTTTGGAGCGACTGGGAAGCAGTATAGGAGGCTTCCACCTGGGCGAGGGACTCTTCGAGCTCCGGGTCGAGGGGAGCGTCGTCAAAGAAGGCGTCGAACTCGTCGTCGTCGTCGACGGTCATGTCTGGGTATGCGGTGTGGTGTGCGCCATGGGGAGCGGCCTTGTCGCTCGCTCGCTCTTTGTGCGGATAGGGAGAAGCAAGCTGAGCAAGGCGGGCGGCGATGGTGGCGAGACCGAAGGGCCAGAGGCGAGGCGAGGCTGAGCTGCTGCGGGAAGCCGAGCGAGCGAGGGCCGCACCCTGGCCTGCCACTTCGGAAGTCGGAGGTGCTTGCCAGCCAGCCAGGCAGGCCAGGCCAGGCCAGGCCCAAAAGTGACGAGCGTCTGGCGCGTTGCGGGCGGTCGCGTATAGAGAGAGGCCTGCGGGCCAGGTCGCGTCGTCGAGCCCTGCAGCGGCCAAGAACCAGGTGGAGGCTATCCCTGGGTCAAAGCGCCCTCCCAACCCCCACCACCACCATCCCCCCATCGCAAACCTCATCCTTTCCCTCATTCTCCCTCCCTCCCTTGGCCTGCTCAACATCGCCCATACGCAACCATGGGTATCAAAGGTAAGCACGAGCAGTGTTGCCGCATCTCGACAGCTCCGGCTGGGTCTCGCCCCCGGGCCTACTCACGCCTCATCTCCGCTCGCTTTTCGCCCCCCTCGCAAATCTCGCAGGCCTCACCGCCCTCATCAGCGACGAGGCGCCCGGCGCCATCAAGGAAATGGAGATCAAGACCTACTTTGGACGCAAGGTCGCCATCGACGCATCCATGAGCCTCTACCAGTTCCTCATCGCCGTAAGGCAAAACGACGGTCAGCAGCTCATGACCGAGTCCGGAGAGACCACCAGCCACCTCCTCGGCTTCTTCTACCGCACCCTCCGCATGATCGACTACGGCATCAAGCCGATGTACGTCTTCGACGGCAAGCCCCCGGACCTCAAGCAGGAGGTGCTCAACAAGCGCTTCGGGAAGCGAGAAGAGGCAAGGGAGCAGGAGGAAGAGCAAAAGGACGTGGCGGACGTCGAGAAGATGGACCAGCTCGCGCGCAGGCAGGTCAGGCCCACCCGACAGCACAACGAGGAGGTCAGGCACCTCCTCAAGCTCATGGGCATCCCCTGCGTCATCGCCCCCTCCGAGGCAGAGGCCCAGTGCGCCGAGCTCGCCAGGGCCGGCAAGGTCTACGCCGCCGGTTCCGAGGACATGGACACCCTCACCTTTGGCACGCCCATCCTCCTCAAGCACCTCACCGCATCGGAGCAGAAGAAGCTCCCCGTTCACCAGGTCGACCTGCCGCGCGCCCTCGAGGGCCTAGGCATGACCATGGACCAGTTCATCGACCTCTGCATTCTCCTCGGCTGCGACTACCTCGACCCCATCAAGGGCATCGGTCCAAAGACGGCGCTCAAGCTCATGAAGGAGCACGGCAGCCTCGACAAGGTCGTCGAACACCTCAAGGCCGAGGGCAAGAAGAGCGTCGTAATCCCCGACGTGTGGCCGTTTGAAGAGGCGCGCAAGATTTTCCTCGCGCCCGACGTCCAGAAGGGCAGCGACCTCGACCTCAAGTGGGAGGCGCCCGACGTCGAGGGCATGGTCAAGTTCCTCTGCCAGGACAAGGGCTTCAGGTGCGTTGCGTCGTCCCATGTGTCGATGGCTCTTCGGCTCGAGTCCTTTTGGAGCGGAGGATGGCGACTGACGCGTTTGCTGGTAATATCTGCCTCCCGCGCTCCGCCATCCGACAGCGAGGACCGCGTGAGGAAAGGATGCGAGAAGCTGCAAAAGTCGCTCAGCCAGAAGCAGCAGGGAAGGCTGGATGGCTTCTTCACGTGAGTGCGGCCCGTCTCGCTGCCGGACACGGCGCCAGTCGGGCACCGGCTAGCGTAGCACGCCGCTGACCCACCCGTCGCTCCTTTACGATCCACGTCCTCTCTGCCCGCAGCGTCGCATCGTCATCGGCCAAGAGAAAGCCCGAGGCCGACGGCAAGAAGGACGCGAAAAAGTCAAAGACGGCCAGCGGCGGCGGTGCGGCCAAGAAGGGCAAGAAGTGATGCGTCGACGCGTGGTCCCGTCTTCCAACGTATGCCTCTGCACCTCCTCTCGATCGACCTCGCTGAGCTGCACCGCGCCGTGATGCAGCCCGCACTGTACTTGTAGCCTCCCAAACATCCTGGCATTTGGCATCCGATGCGCTCCTCTCTTCCTCTGCTCGACTGACGGTGCCGGCCGCCGGCGTATTTGCCTAGGCGGGATGGAGGCGCGGCGGTTGAGCGCGAACCGCCAGTGATCCGGCCAGATCGTCAGAGGTGACGACACCATCCTTGGTCGTTGTGGTACGATCGATCGAGCCGCCCGTCACGTCTCGGTAGAAACTGGGATCAACCCCGACCCACCAAACCGCTCGAGAAGGTGTCAGTACTGCGCCACGTGCATCCTGCCACAGCAATGGAGGGGCCGAGGCGAGAAAGGGCAAGAGACTCACAACGACTGGTCAGAGGAATAGTCGTACCGCGGCGTGGCGGTCTGGTTGAGCTGGCTAGAAAAGACGTCGGCGACGCGGTGCGTACGGACGCTCCACGGTGCCCCGCTCTCGTCTCGTCCCAACACTTCCTCGTTGCCCAACACCAGCCAATCCCCCTTCTTTCCCGTGACGTGTACGTCCCTCGTGACCTGCACGTCGCCCGTGACGAGTACGTCCCGGGAGAAGGAATGGTCGAGGTGCGTCGTGGATGTCGTGTTCACCCCAGCCCCGACGTCGCCAGGTCGGAGAGAGGTCGTGACGCTGAGCGGGTACGAGAATCTGAGCTCGATGCTCTTTCGTCCTCCCTTTTGTCGGCCCGATGCGGAGTCGACGTCAAAGTGGTGCTGCTCTCCCCGACCTTTGTTGCCCCGCCGGCCAAGACGGAGCGGCTGCTCCATCTCCGTCTCTGCCTCCCCCTCCCTCTCATCGGCGTCATCGTCTTCATCGGCGGCGGCGGCGGCATCGATGACAGTCGAACGGGTCCATCCCGACGAGCGCTGGATCGTCACCTGCTCTCTGGCCGTGACGCTCCCTCGGTTATCGTACCGCATCTCCTGCTGCCACACCACCGTCTGGGCCGCCCGACCGCGCCGTCGTTGGCTGCCCGTCGAAACGGTACCTCTCACCTCGAAGCGGCGCTGACCCACGAGCTGAGCGTGGAAGTCGAGCCGACCTACGTCGTCCTGGAACGGATCACCCTCCAGCCGGCCCGTCACCGAGACAGCGGGGACCGCATCACCCCTCCGGTCCCCGTCGTCGCCGGGCGGTGCCAGCTCGCCCGTGGTCCTCTCGTCGCTCTCGTCGCGGTAGACGGCCACGTTGCCCGAGACGAACCAGCTGGCATCGTTGATCCTGCCGTCCCTCTCTCCCGAGGCGACGCGCACCTTGAACTCGTGCGGCCGTCCGTCGGTCAAGGTGCCGAGGAAGGGGGTAATGTCGATCGAGTAGGTGGGCGAATCGAACGCGCCAAACGACGCAGAGGGCCGCCAGAGGAGCGGGCTGATGCCGCCCGTGTAGATGACGGGGTACGGCGCGGCGAGGCCGGCCAGCCGGCCGTCGATGTACAGCTGCACCTCGCGGTACGGTCCGTGGCCGAAGTAGCCCTGCTCGGTGGCGTTGGTCAGCTGCCCGAAGAAGCGATCCGGGATGAGCGTGTACCAGAACTCCTCGGTGGCCGTGCCGGTCGCAAACAGCTCGACGGTGGCGCGCGCGGCATTGTGCGGCAGCTGCAGAGAGACGGCACCGTCGCCGCTGGATCCGCCCAGCTGGAAGAGGGAGCTGTCGTTGCTCTTGCGCCGCGAGATGGGCAGCACGACATCGGGCGCTCGTTTGGCCAGCGGCGCCAGGCTGTTGCTGCGGTCGACGTAGGCGGTGACGGACAGCGTCACTGCCGCAATCTCGCGGGCGGAGGGGGGGGACAGCAGCCGAGTCGTCAGCCATGCTTCACCCTGCAGGCCCCATTCCGTTGCGTGAGCCTCGACTTACGGTTGAGCGCGCCAGTATAGGTCGCATCGACGATGTTGGGAAAGTCAAAGACGACGGTGGCGTCGCGCTTGAAGAGCGGGTAGAAGCGACCGACGTCCCTGCTGGTGGACCACTCGATGCCCGTCCGGGTGGGCTCGGGGTTGTCGGTCCTCCAAACCTCTACACCGTGCCCGGTGTCGTCGTTGCCCAACCAGATGGTGCCGAGGCGATCAAACTGGCGACCGACGGATGCACCTCGGATGGTGAGCGTGAGGCCGGTCCAGATGGTCGGGTCTTTGCATCGCTCGTCGTCGAACGAGGCGGGGCTGAAGGGTACGACTGAGGGCTTGCCGTAGCTGTTGCCAAAGGAGCGCGTGACGAGGTCGAGGGTGCAGCTGGAGGAGTCGGGGCTGAGGAGGAGGGGAGCGGGGCGGTTGAGCTCGAAGTTGAGCGTCGGTCCCGCCGGCTGCCTTGCGGGCGTCGTGTCGGGCGAGGGGATGGATGAGCCTCCCCTCGCGCCCGCAGACGAGTCGGGGAAGCGAAACGGCCCGAGCCAGTGAGGAAGAGGGTCATGGGAGGATTGCTCCGGGTGCTGCGCCGAGGGTAAAGGCCATCCCGGGCGGGAAGCACCGACGACGACAGCGGCGAGCGCCGTCAGCGCCAGGGCGAGGGCGGAGGTGCGCAAGAGCATTTTGGTCGACTATCGTTGTCGTGATGGTTCGTGATGAGGATGGTGAGTGGCGTCGGCGGCGTTCACCCCGTCCGTTGAGGACTCCAGGCTAGGTGTGAGGCCGAGTACGGCGCGTCGGATGGCCAAAGTACTGCAGCCAGAGCGAGCGAGGTCGAGGGCAACGGGCGACGGGCAAGAGGCAAGAGGCGAGATACGATCAGCCAGCGACCCGTCTCTCAAGCGAGCCATCTCGGCCGGCCCAGAGCCCTCCGGCGGCTGAGACCTGCTTCCCCGCATGACAGCTGGGTGTTGCTCTCTCCACAGGCCCCAGCGCGTCGCGCCGGAGGGGTCAACGGGCAAGCCGCCTTTGCCCGTGTCACTCGATATAATGGCCAAGGCGGATCCATCTCTCTCTCCCCGTCTCGCTCCTTTCCGCATGCCGTCGACATCTTCAGGAGCGCAAAGTCTAGATTGTGTTATTGCGGATACAGAGTCAGGATCGTGTGTGGCTGCCTGGGCAGGTGTTGCGGTGGCCAGACTGCGGTCGCAGAAGAGGTCGACGACGTCGGTGCTACAAAGAGGTCGACGACGAGGCGGTGCCACGCAGACCTAGCACACGTGCACAGCACCGCTCCTCCCGGCTGCGACGTCGGTGATGGCCGTCCAGACTGTCGAAAGATCAGAGAGGACGCACGCGCACTTTCAGGTCAGCGTCCCTTTCTGCTCCCGTCCGTTCGCGATGGCACGGCACGGCCTTCGGCGCCACACTCACCACTGATGACGAGCACCACCATGCCAAACACGGCGCACGCGACGCTGAGCGGCCTCGTGCTCTGCCACCACTTGCGCTTCGACGCCGGCGGCCGGAAGCGCACCGTGGCGCCCGGCCGCAGCGGCAGTTCGACGTCCTCGATCGGCACCTCTCCCGCACCGGGCCGTCGCGAAGTCGTCGGCAGGTGCGACGGGCCGTGCGACCCCGCGCCCGACAGGCCCGGCGCCTCGAGGTCGTCGAGCGTCGCCCCTCCGTCGTCCTCGTCGTCGGATTCGTAGTCGTCGATGCGGATGCGGTTCTCTCGCTGCCCATCCCTCGCTCCGCCGCGGAA